TCTCAGTTCGGGAGGCGGACACCCTCTCTACCTTTAAGATTAGACTTAAGACGTTCCTTTTTGATAAAGCTTATAGTTAGAGTGGATCAGGTGACCCTGAGCCTTCCCTTAGTTAGGCTGCTATAGGCCTAGGCTGCTGGGGGCCCCAGGATGCTCGGAGTTTCTTTGCCCTCCTGCTTTACTCTGCTGTCCTCTCCTCTCCTCTCTCTCCCTATGCTTCTATATGCCACCATTACACATTACTAACTTTGTGTCTCCTCTCTCCCGTAGTGTGTCCTCTCTCTCTCCCTGTACCTTTCTGCAGATTGCCATGGCCCTGGAGCTCTATGTCTCTGACGAGCAGTCACCAGCCACATCGACCTGATCAGTGTTTGATTGTTGTCTTGTTGCTTTTCTTCTTTTGTCTCTCCTCTATCCACTCACCCCAACCGGTCGAGGCAGAAGGCTGCTCACCAAGAGCCGGGGTCTGTTGGAGGTTTCTTCCGTTAAAGAGAGTTTTTCCTCCCCACTGTCGCCAAGTGCTTGCTCAAGGGAGATTTGTTGAGTTTTCCCTATGTAATAATATTGATAACAGTAAGGTCTAGACCCTACTTTGTAAAGTGTCCTGAGATGACTTTTGTTGTGATTTGGTGCTATACAAATAAAATTTGATTTGATTTGATTTGAACTGTGGTGCAGGGGATGGGAGGGGTTATGCATGATGGGTTTTAGTTTCGCCAGCATCCTACTGTTCGCCACCTCCTGGATGGAATCCAGAGAGCAGTCCTGGACAGACCCAGCTGTCTTAACCAGCTTGTGGAGTCTCTTTCTGTCCCTGCCCGTGCTACCTCCTGCCCAACCCACAACAGCGTAAAAAACTGCAGATGCCACCACAGAATCATAAAATGTCTGAAGGAGTGCCCCGCACACATCAGAGGACCTCAGTCTCCTCAACGAGTGGAGACGGCTAAATTTTGTTCCAACCTGAAAACACAGCTAATACATCTATCATACCCAACAGATTATTTCTCATGGTTAATTACAGACACTAAAAGCTGCACTATGTAAGTAACTGACAATAATAGACATGCTTTATGTAACTCTTCCCCCTTTGTCACTAGGTTATACAAAGATCATGTCTTTTCCTAGTATTGTAAGCCTGAGTTTCACTTGACCTTTGCACTGTTGGTGTTCCCAGCAAGCTTAACCTCTCCAAAAACACCCCAGTACATGAGCTCTTTAAAGCTACAGTATAGCAAAGAAAACTGTCTTACACCGGACATAACTGGTGTCTTTGACTAGCTTGCCTACCTCTTGTTGAATAAAATGATGTACAGCAAATTTGATTTCTGAATGTGTGGAAACCATGTGTAACATATTTTTACTTTATGTTGAACGGAGCTGATACCTGATCATTTTCTGACCAGCGCATTAGACCAAGTTGAATTTTCATGGTTGCCTTGAGCAGTAAACGCAAGCTCACTGGTAACATCTGGCTTTGATTTACTACAACCCTTGCTTTGATGCATGTCTTCATCTATTGTCAGTTTCCAGTCTATGCTGTTTAGGACCGACATCAGTAGAAGTCACTCCTGGCATAAAATGTGAAATTTCCTGTTAAGTGATGTCACTGTGTGTGCGTGTGAGAGAGAGAGACAGACAAATGTTGTCTGTGTATTATCTCATCATTTTATTGTGAACTCAACAAAAGCTCAACATTACTGACCTCAGGTTTTAATATGTTCACTGTTTTTAATTTACAGTAACAGAATATCCATTACTAAAGCCACTTCTAAGAGCTGAGATAATCCTTGCATCCACTAACACCTGATAGAAGCTGCAGTTCATGCAGCTTACGTTGTTTGTAATTGGCAGATGCTTACTGTTTATAATCTCTATAAAAGTAATGTTCTTACTCAGTTGGAAAGCTCTCAGTAAAAAGTGCCTTAAGGAACTTCTCCTAGTATTATGCTTGCTTAATAAAATCACCATTATGAGCTGTTCTGTAAAACTTGCACCTTACTTTGACTGTGTGTTTGACTGGAAACTCCTTTCTCGTGTTTTCATTCTGTTTCTGAAAATAAGACTAAACTGATGAAGTTGGTTTGAGTGTTGTAGACTTCTATTTCTTCATCTGTCTATCAGTTTTTTTGATATGTTGTATTTGAGACGTTACCTGTTTTTGGACTTGGGAACTACAATATTGAACTTAACTCTATACTTGCCTGAAAAAACACACAGGTTTGATATCCTCTGTTTGATGTTATTAGAAGCTCTGATATTCCTTTTTTTAAACATTTACCCTGAGGGAACACCTGTAGTGACTGAAGCCTCCTTTTCCTTTTTTTTGCCACAAATATAAAACAAGACTAACAGCAAATATGTGAACATTAAATGGAACAGTTGTGTCCTTCCTCCGCAGTGAGACGTCAGAATATGAAAGTACACATCAGCGCCACAGAAGACACTATCGTGATGAAGTTTTTGCGTCCCAATGCCAACACCAAGCTTGAGGGCTACATCCTGGGTTATGGCAGCAGCATGTTCTACAAACAGTTCATTCAGCTGCCTGAGAATGGGAAGCCATATGAGAATGAATTTGGTAAGAAAAGTTTAATGTAGAAACAAAGTCCAGGCTGCTATAATGTAAATGTGAACCGTACAGTATTTGTCTGTTTTCAGATGCTGAGCCCAAGTACCTTATTGCTGTCCAACCCATCCCAACCAATGAGGTGAAAAAACATTGCACAGGTAATGCTTTTACAAGAATTCTGTAGGACAAACATTAATAAAGTGACATCCATATATGAATGGTAAGATAGATATGTATTTAAAGTAAGATTTTGATTTGTCTCAGGTAAAGTTGAAATGGAGAAGCCCTTACACTTGGTCATTGGGTCAGTGACACCTACTTCTGTTCTTCTATCCTGGGGGACACTGCTGAAAACCCCCACTGAAGGCAACATCATGGATGACTGTGTAGAGGATGGGTGAGTTTATACACACGCGCCACAGAATAATGATATGAATATCCTTGAACTCTGAGTGCTCGTTTTTTTTTTTTTTTTCTCAAAAAACTAAGATCAAACTCCTAACCCAGTAGCTGTTAGAACATTATCAGCTTTGCTGAAATGCTGTGCAATAAAAAGGCTTATATGGTATCTAAAACTACGTACAGTTCTACTATGATATTTAATTATGAATGTCCCTAAGAAGGTTTAAAGGACTAGAAACACAGGACTGATGAAGACTCTTCCATCCATCCATTTTCCTCCGCTTATCCGGGACCGGGTTGCGGGGGCAGCAGTCTAAGCAAAGATGCCCAGATTTATATTAAACAAACCAGTATTTCACTAAATGGCACTATATCAAAACTGATATTCACTGTAGAGCAAGAGGAGGGAAGAATGTATATCTAAAACAGATGTCCGAGCCACCTCAGCTGGCTCCTCTCGATGTGGAGGAGCAGCGGTTCTACTCTGAGCTCCTCCCGGGTGACCGAGCTCCTCACCCTATCTCTAAGGGTGTGCCCGGCCACCCTGCGGAGAAAGCTCATTTCGGCCGTCTGTATCCGGGATCTTGCCCTTTCAGTCATGACCCAAAGTTCAAGACCATAGGTGAGAGTCAGAACGTAGATTGACCGGTAAATCGAGAGCTTCGCCTTACAGCTCAGCTGGGATGAGAATCAGCACCTCCAAATCCGAGGCCATGGTTCTCAGTCGGAAAAGGGTGGCTTGTTCCCTTCAGGTTGGTGGAGAGTTCCTTCCTCAAGTGGAGACGTTCAAGTATCTTGGGGTCTTGTTCACGAGTGAGGGAAGGATGGAACAGGAAGACTCTTGCATGACTGACAAACTGTCTGCAAGACAAAACTTTATCATTATTATTATTATTATTATCATTTAGCTAGTTGTTTGTTTGTTTGAAATATCACCTGCATGACACATGGGATTTATTGTTTATCTTTATATTCTGCTGTGCTCTTCTTCATCTCAGACACTATACAGTACGTTATCGTGAAAGGAGCAGGAAGTGGAAATACCAGACCTGCCCAACTAGTGACACAGTCGTTGATCATCTGAAGCCCAACGGTGTCTATGAGTTTAGTGTCCAGCCACACTCTAAAGATGGCAATGGGATGTGGAGCAAGCCAGTTATTCACAACATCAGCACCGGAGGTGGAGTAGGTATGTTTGATGCCATTTTCATTCACATGAGACCATGCCCCTCTAACCACTGAGTGGCAAACCACACAAACTTGCTATGGCTGTTTTGAACAGAGATGGGTGCAATACCACTGGGAGGACAAGGCCATCAGAATCAGTGATGTTTAGTATGACACCAGTGCTCTCTGCATGCTAAAGTTTAACCAGAAATTCATTTTCATGCACAGGTATATGTGGTACAGTATAGTTCTGCAAAGCACAGATGGGTTTGGTTTCACTAACTATATAAAGAACTGCTGTATGCGTGTCTGTTCTTCACATTGTTTGAAATATCATTTTGCTTTGCTTCTTCACTTTCTGTTAGTTCCACTTCACTGATTTATTTATTTTTTTCTTTACTGATTTTTCTTGTGTTTCTAGACGATGTCGTCAGGAAAATCTTTAAAATTAAACGCCCCCCCACTAATATCCGGGTGGTATGTATTTTTTATTTCTTATTCAAGCATAATTAGTGCTATATAACAAATGTTATGACATAGAGAATTACTGTAATCATATGTGGATGCAGCTGGTAATAGTTAATGAATGCTAAATGAAATAGTATAATAGAAAGAGAAGTGATACTGTACACTTCCTCTCCTCCAAATGGATATTTTAGTGAACTGTGTTTGGAACAGGCAATATGCTTTAAGAGTCGTGCTACTATTCTCAGGGTTCTTTGCATCATAAATGTTCCATCCAGCTGCTAAATTGAAATGGCATCAGTGCAGCCTGGCCCAGCCAAGCCACAAGAGCAGTCTGCAACTACCTAACATCTGGGATAGAAAAATGGAAAGGAATCAAGGAAAAAAGGGAGATAAGATGGTAGTACAGACAATGAAAGGTAACTGTGGAAATGAGAGGAGAAAGGTAGTACTGATTTTTCTGACCATGCAATGCTGTAGTGTCACATGCTCCTGGCATGTAACTCATAAAACATCACAGCTGTTTGAATCAGCCACAACACTTTCAGAGGGAAGCCTTGAAAAACAACCTTTCCACCAGGGTCTTTACCAACTCGACATGGAGTAGATGGCCCATGAGTTATGCAACACAGAAAAGGATGCAGAAGAAGAGGTGGCAAATGTTGATACTTTGATTTGTTGGAATCAAAGACTCCTAACAAATCCTTGCTTTTGTCTTCTTGTCTTTCAAGCACCAGAAATCTGTATCTCCAGTTTTGCACCCCTTCCCCTTCAATCAGCACCTTGGTAAGACATGCTGCTTTTGGGCAAACCCACTGAACCCTTTTAATACATCAACAGAATTTTTATAAATACTATGATTTATCGCAGCTTAGAAATGTCTCTTTCAGCCCTCTATACTGACCCCTGCTTTAAGAGCCTGCACTGGAAGAAATTTAACTGGAATGTTGATTTATTGTTTTGCAGACCAGACCTCATGTTCATTTCCCACTTTTTTTAAATTCACAATTTTCATTTTGCGGATTTATTGAAAAAGCCAAGTTGAGCAAAGCTGTTTTCAAACTCTGTCTATAATATTATGCTAAGTAAACTGTAGAAACAATCCAGTTCAACAAAAACTTCATTCATTCATTTTCTACCGCTTAGTCCCTGAACGGGGTCACGGGGGGGCTGGAGCCAATCCCAGCCAGCAATCGGGCAAAGGCGGG